TAACGTAACTACCACCTACCACCACGTACCACCTACTAGTTAACTCTTTAGTTTAGTTTAATTTTATACTAGTTGAGTGTAGACCTTCGCCGTTCCGTCCTGGGACCGTCGGACACGTTTCGTAGCCGTCCGCCAACCACTTAGGTTCCGTCTTCGGGTCCGACGTCAGCTTTGGGTTTCGTGTCAGTAGCTGGCGTCACGTATTAGGGTCCTACGGAATAGGGCGAGCCTACTGCTAACTCGGATCACTAGTATTTGGGTTTGTAACGTAAATTCAATCGTTTTGTCAATAATTAATAGATCTCCTGTATAGTGAAACATTAATTAGTATAAAACTTTTTGAGTAGAGTAATTCGGGGTGCGCCATGCCGAGCAAAAATGACAATTGTGTGGCCCTCGTGTTAATTAGCTTTAGTTTAACCTTAGAATTTGAGGCGTGCCATTTAGCAAATTCCATGGCCCTCGCAAAGTGCAAACGCGTAGTTACTTTAGGCGCGTATTTAATAATCTACTTTCCTAAACTCGGGTGCACATTTATGTGACCCAAATTCAAATCTCAACGGTGTTAGAATGTGTCAAAAACCACGGGTGCATTTATGTGACGTGGTTCGAGATGTGTTTTAATAACGTTGCAATTTTCTCTAAAAATTAAATAAAAGCGGTTAAAACTAAAATTTGCACATAGGTTCATAATTGTTTAAAATCAGATAATTAAGCCGAATATAGCAGTTGCTCGTGCTAGAACCACAGAACTCGCGAATGCCTAACACCTTCTCCCGGGTTAACAGAATTCCTTACCCGAATTTCTGGTTCGCGGACTGTTAAACAGAGTCATTCTTTTCCTCGATTCGGGATTTAAATCGGTGACTTGGGACACCATAAATCTCCCAAGTGGCGACTCTAAATTTTAATAATATAATCCCATTTCGATTGTCCTTTGATTGGAAAAAAACTCCCTTTATTATACCCTCTTCCGGGGGTGTAGTGAAAAAGGAGGTGTGATAGTTCTGGCGACTCTGCTGGGGACAAGAACCCAGAACTTCGGTTCAGGGTTCGAGAATTCGAGCTTGGAATAATTGTTGTATTTGGCTTTGTTTATTATCTGATTTTATTACATGTTTGGGACTAATGTGCAAAATGTTGCTTTTTACCGCTTTGATATTATCTGAACTGTATATATAAACTATTACGAAACCCTTCTCTTCTCCCTCCCGAGGAGTGCACGCTGGTCGTGACTTCTTTTTTTTAGTGTCATATTCCAAATAAGACGAGGCTCGGACAAGTTGCAAAGCCGGAGGATCTTTTGGTTACCGGTACGCAGCCCCCCCTCCGCTCGAGTTGTCCGCTCGGGTAGACCAGGTCTAGAACAAATAAACCTAGGTTTTAAACCTAGAATAACTCAGCCTCATGCCGGATCCCTAGTAGGAACGCTTATCTGCATCATGTGCATTTTGACTTAGGGGACTCAACACAGGGGTTGGGTCCGTCTAGGACAGGTGCACCCAGAATAACAGACCATCCTGATGCATCCTACTTGTGCATTTATCTGTTTTGGATTTGCATGCTGACCGGCTTTTAAATAAAAAGGGAGAGTTTGGGAAAGAAAATAGCAGTATGAGGGTTGAGAGAGGTAATCACCTGTTTTGTAAGAAAACCCAATATCCAAAAATGGTACTGAAACTCTGCCGGATTTTTTTGAAAAAAAAAAAGAAAAAGAAAGAAAGGTTTTGTTTTCAAAATAGTTGGTTTTGTTTTATTTGCCAGAACTACGCCAGTTTGATTCCCATAGGGCGTGGGATACGTAGGCAGCCCCCATCGGGTCCAACTTCCATTTTTGCAAAAATAGCCCAAAACAGAACAAAATTTTAATATTTTTAGGTGATGCCATTCTTGTCGTAAATAGCCGAATGTCCCTAAAAGGGCGCCGGAAGGCTGTTTTTGCAAGAACAGCTACCTTTGGTCATTTTTTAGAGTTTGGCTAGTTAGCAGGCACAGCCTTAAAATCTTCCTCCCCGGAGTGTTGAAAGGCCGTATTTGCAAAAACTGGGTTTTAGTTTGAAATGAACTTTTGAAAATTGGCGTCGTTTTTGTTGAGTCAAAATGAGTCATAGTTTTTCCTTTAATTAAAATCACTTGAATAAATTGTGCAGAATGAGCACGGGTCAAGGTTTATCAGTAACAATCATGAACAAGATCCCTTTGGAGTTGCATATGTGGTGGGAGGATTTAGGTAAATCGGAGCAGGATAAGATCAAGCTACATTTTGGAGGTCTCACCAGTTTGCTGCAGATAAGGCCTAGGGCAGACATCATCAAGGCATTGGTTACATTTTGGGACCCAGCTCATAACGTCTTGCATTTCTCAGATTTTGAACTCACACCCACCTTGGAGGAGATAACAGGCTATATGGGAATTACTGAAGGTTTAAGGCATAAGTATTTGATCGCTCCAAGGGCTGTTAACTCTCACAAATTCACGAATTTGCTAAAAATAAGCAAGGGAGTCCCATATACCGAGTTGGAGGATGGTTTTTCCACTCTACGTTTTATATACCAAAGGTACGGGCATATAGGGGGATTCAACAATCCGGAAAGCGGGGTTTGTAGCAAAGGGAACCGAGCAAAATGGGATGAGCATAGGCGTTTTGCTTTCATGGTAGCTTTCTTAGGCCTTGTGGTGTTTCCCCGGAAAGACGGAAATATTGACTTGCGGGTGGATGGAGTCGCTAAAGTTTTGATTACCAATGTCAAAATCACCCTTGCCCCTATGATAGTAACCGAGATATACCGAGCTCTCACAACTTGTAGAGCTAGGGTAGATTTCTTTGAGGGATGCAATTTGCTATTATAGATATGGATGATCGAGCACCTGTGTCACCGCCCTCAGTATATGAGTTATGGGTTCGCTGAGAAAAGTTGCATTGAAGAGTTTGACACAAGGGTTTCAGGGTTCAAGTTGCCAGAAGGGTTTGGAGATTGTGTATCCCGCCTTCGCTCCATCACTGCAGGGAAGATAGAGTGGACATTAAGTTGGCTTCCTGTTGAAGAAATTGTATATATGCCCGTTACTGGTCCTTACTTCCTCTTAATGGGTCTTCAAGTCATCCAGCCATACGCTCCATACCGTGTGATGAGACAATTGGGAAGGTGTCAAGTAGTGCATCTAGATGAAGATCTTAGTGTTCATGCAGTCGAGGTTAGCTTCAACGGCTAATTTCATGAGGAAACAGTTCGTTCTATTTGGAACGAGTGCCAGTATTTGACAGCGAACACTCGGGTACGTGACCTATCTAGAGGCGAGGTCTCACCCACCTATCTTGCCTGGTATATAAAGAAGAACACTGCAAGAACTGAGCCAGAAAGACCAGCCAAAAAGCCTTACATCCAAGAATTCATTGAGGCATCGCAAGAACAGTGGGCTTGGTTGACCAAGGAGAAAGAATACATGGCCAATATAGGGGATTTGGAAAAGCAGGTCCGGGACCTTCAGTTTGAAAACAGTTTGCAAGCCGCGGCCGATGAAGGAGAAAAGAGGAAATTAGCCAAAGAAAATGAAGCCTTACGAGCCCAAATTCAAGAAATGAAGATAGCAGCCGAAAATCCCGCCAGGAGTGTAAAGGATGAGAAGCTCATAAAGAACCTTAGGCAGAAAGTGGATGATTATGGTTTTGATTTGAACAAAGCGGAGAGTTAGTTGGAAAGGGCTCGAGCACAACTAGCCAAGAATTCGGGAGAAAGAGCAAACTTGGTGAGGCAGTTGAACAAGCAATACGACGATGAGGTTGCAGGGTTGAAGAAAAGGGTCATCACTGTCAAAGACAAAATGGTCAAACAAGATAAGGATTTTAAAGCTGAAAGGGAACAATGTTATGATCTTATGGCTCAGATGGAGGAGGAAGTGCAACAACTGCAAAATCAACATCTCCACGACGCTCAGGTATTAGAAGCCCGTAATCAGCAAGTCGGGCATCTACTTCTGGAAAAGGGCAGGATCAGAGAAAGGATCAGGGCCATTGCCGAATATATTATTGTGAAATGCCAGGCATGTGAGGATATGACCCGTACCACTTTCTTTGCGGCGGTGATGACATTTGTTCGGCAAGTCATGAGTGATTTAGAGAGACTCCAAGGGGATCTCGCATATAGGCCCGCGACGAGGCCGAATGATGCCCCGCGGGCACTAGGAGTTCTTGAGGCGTTAATGTATTCGTGATTGCTGAGTCTGTACTTCTTTGCTTTTGAAGTCTGTCAGTTAAGTTCGAGTCTGTTAGTTCTTCGAGTCTGTATTTTCAGAGTCTGTTAGTTGCTCTTGAGTCTTGAGTTTTTCGAGTCATTGCAATCAAAGTATTTGCTTTTTATGAAAAATTGAAAATCCCAAAATATTTTGTTATTTATTTTCCAAGAACTACGCTTGGTCTGATTCATGCGGGGTCATGATACGTAGGCAATCTCCATAGGATTCGACTGTAACCAAATATAATAAAGGAAAAAGAGAAAACAAGAGAGAGGAAGAACAAGAGGGGAAAAACAAAGAGAGGAAAACAAGAGAGAAAATGAAAGAAAAGAGAGAAAATAAGGAACTGAGAGAAGAAAACAATGGCAAGACAAGAGGGTGGGATGAGAGAACAAAAACAGAGAGAAAGTAAAGGCAAGAAAAAGTGAAATGTGGAAAATGGAAATGAGGAAAGCCGGGATGACGCATGCAGCCGATCAAAGGCATAATAGAAACGGTTAACTGCTTAGGTGCATTCATTCTCCAAATGTGCGGTTACCAATCTGTTAAAGCCCTAACCGCTAACAAAATTGTTGTTGATGTATTGAGTTCAGGCAGGTGGTTAGTTGATTGGCATTCTGGCACCTCACTTCTACAACACCCGGTCCAAGGACAAGCTGAACATGGACAACCAAGAACTAGAGGCGAGTATTGTCGATCCGTCCAAAGAGGTGGAAGAACTGGATGTTAATGCGATGAAAGAAGAGATGTATAAGCTGAAGCAGCAAATGGCTGAAATGTACCGGGCCTGGGCAAAGGGGCATCCACCGCCGGCTTATTCCGCCAACCCTACTTATATCCCACCATTGGCTCAACCTCAGGACCCTCCTACTGTGAATTCATCCCCGACCTTTCCCACCTACCAACAATGCTATGGCACTACCTCCCAAACACCACCACCTCCACCACCGAAACAAGTCGCATACCCTCCTCCACCAATCACTCCTGTTTTTGTGGCACCCCCACCTGCTGCATTACACCGATCTTCCAGTGAGCCTCTGTTCCAGACTCACGATAACCACTATTATCCCCCAGAACCTACCTTTAAAGCGCCAGAACCATGTTCTTACACTCCTCATCTTGATCTCTCAGTTGAAACTGAGAAGCCTCCCAAGAATCCCGAGCAGGAGGAGATGATTAGGAAAGTCAAGAGCTTAGAGCAATCCTTCAGGAACATGCAGGGGCTCGGTGGACAAGTAAGCATGGCATATAAGGACCTGTGTCTGTTCCCAGATGTCCAGTTACCAGCATGGTTCAAGTTGCCCAAGTTTGATTTATATGACGAGCATGGTGATCCAGTGGCACACCTGAGAGGTTTTTGTAGAAAGATGAGAGGAGCAGGTGGGAGAGATGAACTACTAATGGCGTACTTCAGTCAAATTTTAAGTGGCTCAGCTTTGGAATGGTACACCCGGCAAGATCATGGTCGGTGGTACACATGGGACGATCTGGCCCAAGCCTTCGCATGCCATTTTCAATTCAATCTTGAAATTGTTCCCGGCCCCTTGTCATTGACGAAGATTGAGAAGAAGCCAGGGGAGAGCTTTAGAGAATACGGCTTCCGTTGGAGAGAGCAAGCAGCAAGGGTTGACCCTCCGATGAAAGAAAGTGAAATGGTTGATTACTTCTTGCAGGCCTTAGAGCCCACTTATTTCGGTCATTTGGTGTCAGCAGTAGGGAAATCCTTCAATGAAGTGGTGAAAATGGGAAGCATGGTAGAGGAAGGACTCAAGTCTAACAAAATAATGAGTTATTCAACAATTAAGGCGACCTCCCAAGCTATTCAAAATGGCACTGGGGGTGTACTAGGGAAGAAGAAGAAATAGGACGTTGCGGTAGTTGAGTCAAGAGCTTGGTCCAGGGGCCTGTCACCTTACTATAACCAGCCTCGACCCCACCCCCAAACATACCCCCACACTCCATATAGCCCACCACAACACTACTACCCACCTCCAGATCCCCACTTCTCTGTCCATCATGCTCAGGCATACACTCAACCTCCTACCCACGCACAATGGCGTGCGCCAACCCCACGGAATACTTACCCACCTCCCCAAAATAACTATCCACCACCAAGAGCCCACAGAAATCCCCCTGCGGCAGGTTTCCGACCAAACCAAAACTTCAAGAGTGAGAGGGTGAAGAAGCAGAAGACTTTCACTCCATTGGGAGAATCATATACCAGCCTATTCCATAGGCTGAGACAATTGGGTATGTTGAATCCGATTGAGCCTAAGTTGCCGAACCCCCTTCCGAGAAATCTTGACCACTCGGTAAGTTGCGAATATTGTTCAGGGGCCCCGGGGCATGACACAAAGAAATGCTGGAAATTGAAAACGGCTATTTAAGAGCTCATTGATACCCGTCAAATCGAGGTTCAAGCCCCAGAAACGCCCAACATTAACTAGAATCCGCTCTCGGCCCATCATGAGACCAATATGATTGAGATAGTGCAAAAAGGGGGAGAGCCTAAAAAGCCCTCGCAGACTGTAATGATGATCAGATCCAGTGAAGTCAAGCCAAGTGAGAAGTCAACTAGTGGGAAGTCATTGATCAAGTTGAAAGAGACAGATAGTAAATCAGTTGTGGTGGTTCAGAAGGAGTCTTCGAGCAAGGTTGCAGTGAAACAAGAAAAAGCAAAGGTGGTAGTGCCAGGGGCAGCCAACTAGCCCGTTGTAGTTGTGGAAGGTGCTCGCACAGAGCCTGTTATTATAAAACCAGTGACTCAGCTACCAATAGTCAACAGCAAGGCCGTCCCTTGGAATTATGGCCGAATGACAGTGCTTTACAAAGGGAAAGAGGTTAAAGAAGATGTCTGTGAGAACCATGGTCTGACCCGCTCGGGGAGATGCTTTGCACCCGAGGAGCTAAGAAAAGCCAAAACCGCCAAAGATAACCAAGTGTTAGTGAAGAAAGCTGTAACCGAAGAAGAAGCAGAGGAGTTCTTGAGGAAGATGAAAATGCAGGACTATTCTATTGTAGAGCAGTTAAGGAAGACCCCTGCCCAAATTTCATTGCTTTCATTGTTAATCCATTCAGACGAGCACCATCGGGCATTGATGAAAATCCTGAATGAGGCCCACGTTCCGGACAAGATCTCTATAAACCATCTGGAAAAGATAGCAAATAAGATTTTTGAGGTGAATAGAGTCACTTTTTCTGATGATGAATAGCCCATGGAGGGTACCGAGCATAACAGATCCCTTTACCTTATGGTGAAGTGTGAAGATTCTGTGGTTACCTGGGTACTAATTGATAATGGGTCTAGCGCCAACATTTGCCCTCTCTCCACCCTAGACAAATTGAAAGTGGACACTGAAAGAATTCATAAGAACAGTATTTGCGTTCAGGGGTTCGACGGTGGAGGGAAAGATTCAGTCGGAGACATAGATTTGGAGTTAGGACCAGTCGAATTTACTATGGAATTCCAGGTGCTCAATGTGGCGGTTTCTTACAATCTTTTGCTAGGCCGACCCTGGATTCATGCAGCCAAGGCAGTGCCATCTACCCTACACCAGATGGTTAAATTTGAATGGGACAGACAGGAAATTGTAGTGCACGGCGAGGATGGTTTGTGTGCCCAGAATGATGCCATTATACCCTTCATTGAAGTTGAAGACGACAAGGGGCCGTGGGTCTATCAGGTTTTTGATGCAGTCTCAGTTGAAAAGATCCCAGAAGGGGAGTGTGTTCCAATTCCGAAAGTCACAGCCGCATCAGTCATGGTGGCTTCTGAGATGTTGAAGAATGGCTTCATACCTGGCAAGGGTTTGGGTGCGTCGCTGCAAGGTATCGTACAGCCGGTGTCTCTTCCCAAAAACTTGGATACTTTTGGTTTGGGGTTCAAGCCTAGAGCTGCAGACATAAGGCGAGCCAGAAAGTTGAAAAAGAAAGCATGGGTTCTTCCAAAGCCTGTCCCCCGTCTCTCCCGTTCCTTTGTCAGGCCTGGTACTAAGAAGCGTCCAGCAACAATAATGCTCGGTTCTGTGGTTGGTACTGATGAGGAGTTGCTTGAAAGGTTTGAAAAGCTGTTCGACGAGGTGAATATAGTGGAAGCTGGAGAGGGATCGAGCAAGGCGGATGTGCAATTTGTGGGGCACAGTGCAAAGATCAACAATTGGGAAGCTACTCCTCTTCCTACTCGGAGGGAGTCTTGTTAGTCGGCTTTGATTTTCCTTTCAGTTTAATCTGGATTATTTCCAGGTTTGTAGTCAGATTCTATGTTCCGTCCGTTTGGATGAGTTAAACCTTGTTATCTTTAAATTTCAATGAAATGCAATTTCCCTTCTTCTTCTTATTCATGATAGTTTTTATTTTTGTTTTTCTTTTCTTTCTTGTACAGTCCTTTTTATGCTAGTTTCAATGACATGACATGCATGAGGAATCTCCGGCCCAGTCTTAAATGCCAATCTAATTCTGAAATAATAATACAAGAAATTGAGTGTGATGATGAAGTGGAATATGATGACGAGGAAGCCTTTGAGGATATCAGTAAAGAATTAAGCCATTTTGAAGAAAAACCCAAACCTAACCTGAATGATACAGAAGCAATCAACTTAGGGGACTGGGATAATGTCCGGGAAACTAAATTAAGTGTCCGTCTTGAAACACAGCTCAGAGAGGAGATAATTCAAGCACTGTTCTAGTACAAAGATGTTTTTGCATGGTCATATGACGACATGCCGGGTCTAAGCACTGACTTGGCGGTCCACAAATTGCCCACTCAGCCGACATTTACCCCTGTCAAGCAGAAGCTGAGGAAATTTAAAACTGATATGAGTGTGAAAATCAAAGAAGAGGTTACTAAACAGTTTGATGCAAAGGTCATTAGGGTCACACGGTATCCCACCTGGTTAGCCAATGTCGTGCCTGTACCAAAGAAGGATGGAAAGACCAGGGTGTGCGTTGATTACCGTGATCTCAACAAGGCGAGTCCGAAGGATAACTTCCTACTACCAAACATCAACATATTGATTGATAATTGTGCCAAATATGAGATTGGTTCTTTTGTGGACTGTTATGCGAGCTATCACCAGATCTTAATGGATGAGGAAGATGCAGAAAAGACGGCATTCATTACGCCATGGGGTACGTACTGCTACAGGGTCATGCCATTTGGTTTGAAAAATGCTGGGGCAACCTACATGAGAGCGATGAAAACCATATTCCACGACATGATACATAGGGAGATCGAAGTATATGTGGATGATGTAATTGTAAAGACCAGGAAGCAGCCTGACCATGTCAGGGATCTGAGAAAGTTCTTCCAAAGGCTTCACAGGTACAATCTCAAGCTCAATCCTGCAAAATGCGCTTTCAGTGTTCCATCTGGAAAATTGTTGGGATTTATAGTCAGCCGTCGAGGTATTGAATTAGACCCATCAAAAATCAAAGCCATCCAAGAATTGCCACCTCCGAAGAACAAAACGGAGGTAATGAGTCTGTTAGGGAGATTGAATTATATCAGTAGGTTCATCGCTCAGCTTACGACAACGTGCGAGCCTATCTTCAAGTTGTTAAAGAAGGATGCTGCGGTCGAGTGGACAGACGAATGTCAAGAAGCTTTTGATAAGATAAAGGGGTATTTGTCAAACCCATCGATGTTAGTCCCGCCAGAGCTAGGGAGACCTTTGATTCTGTATTTGACGGTTTTGGGCAATTCGTTTGGATGTGTGTTAGGTCAGCATGACATCACCGGCAGGCCATATACTACCTCAGCAAGAAGTTCACAGCTTACGAGGTTAAGTATACTCAACTTGAGAGGACATGCTGCGCCCTAAATTGGGTGGCACAGAAGTTGAAACATTACTTGTCATCTTATACCACTTACCTTATCTCTCGGTTGGATCCGTTGAAGTACATCTTTCAGAATCCTATGCCCACAGGGAGGCTCGCAAAGTGGCAAATCTTGCTCACGGAATTTGACATTGTCTATGTGACCCGGACTGCAATGAAAGCTCAGGCACTGGCCAACCATTTGGCCGAGAATCCGATAGATGAGGAATATGAACCTTTGAAGACATACTTCCCTGATGAAGAGGTAATGCATGTTGATGAGTTGGAACAAGCTGAGAAGCCAGGATGGAAACTCTTCTTTGATGGGGCGGCTAATATGAAAGGCGTGGGAATAGGAGCAATACTTATTTCTGAAACAGGGCAACACTACCCTGTTACGGCTCAGCTTCGTTTCTATTGCACGAACAACATGGCCGAGTATGAGGCATGTATTTTGGGTTTGAGGCTGGCTATAGACATAGGTGTCCCGGAAGTCTTGGTCATGGGAGACTCGGACCTTCTGGTACACCAAATTAAAGGGGAATGGGAAACACGAGATTTGAAGCTTATACCGTACCGACAATGTTTGCATGATCTTTGTCAACAGTTTTACTCAATAGAGTTCAGGCATATCCCAAGGATTCATAATGAAGTTGCCGATGCTTTGGCTACTTTGGCATCAATGTTGCATCATCCAGATAAGGCTTATGTGGACCCTTTGCAGATTCAGGTCCGAGATCAGCATGCTTACTGTAGTATGGTGGAAGAAGAACTTGATGGTGAGCCGTGGTTCCGTGATATCAAAGAATACCTCAGAATGGGAGTGTATCCAGTACAGGCCACAGGGGATCAAAAGAGAGCAATTCGACGTTTGGCAAGTGGAGTTTTCTTCAGTGGAGGGGTGTTGTACAAAAGAACTCCAGATCTTGGTTTGTTGAGATGCATAGATGCTAGACAGGCCACAGCTATTATGACCGAAGTACATTCAGGAGTTTGTGGACCACATATGAGTGGGTACGTGTTGGCAAAGAAGATTCTCCGAACAGGTTAC